TAGAATTGAAGAATTGTTGAATAGAGAGAGAGTACAAGGGTATATACCTAAGAGTGTTGTACCCTCTAAGAGGCGACCCTATACAGTCTATACAATCATGAGTTATGCATATGTTTGACACACCCCCTAGATTGCATAGGCGCAAATCCTGAACAAGCAGCTCAGGGCGGCACTACTAGTCCAGCCACTGAGGCAAGGGTATAAAGACCAGTCAAAAGGAGTACAGGCAAGACAAGAACATGACCAGGGCGGCACTACTAGTCCAGCCACTGGGAGAGGACACAAGTCCAGTCTGAGTACACATACAGATATACAGTATATAGGACAGTACAAGGTCAAGGTCCTAGCAAGTGAGAGGCTACAGGAACTAGACCGAGCTGTACATAGTGCCGTTGATGATCTTTAGGCGCAAGCGCCTTTGTAAAGATATCAGCTGTGTTGGCACCGGAGGCCAAGTGTACTACGCGAGCCTGGCCGCGCTGCTGTAGCTCGCGCAGGAGGAAGTACCACAGCTGAATATGCTTCGCTCTGCCCTCGAGTCGAGGCTCCTGACACAGGAGGATCATGGCCCTGTTGTCAGCGTACAAGACCTGGGCAGAGCTAGGCCGCTCACCTAAGTCAGTGAGCAAGAAGGTCAGCCAGCGGAGCTCCTGTGCCGCCATGGCACCAGCATAGATCTCGGCCTCACAGCTGGACTGGGCAACAGACAAGGAACGGGTAGCTCTCCACGAGACAGCACCTGAACCAAGGCTAAAGCAGTAGCCCTGGGAAGACCTGAGAGTCTCGGCGTCGTCTGCCCAAGAAGCGTCTGTGTGTCCAGTAAGGACCACTGGCCTGCGTCCTCCTAGCACTAACCCCATGCCCGATGTACTAGCAAGATAATGCAAAACCCTCTTAGCGGCAGACCAGTGCTGCGGTCGGTGTCTTCCTGTGGCCACAAAGCGAGCCAGGATGCTGAGAGGGTCTGCGAGATCTGGGCGAGTGCAAGTCATCAGGTACATGAGGCAACCCACCAGCTCTGCATAAGGACCACTGGGCTCTACTGACTCCTCAGGAACTGGAGCTGAGAGTCTGTGGTCCAGAGGAAGAGGGTTGGGCTGTGCAGAGGAGAACTGAAGGCCGAACCTCTGAAGGACCTGGCGCACCTAAGTGTGACTGAGTCAGGGTGATGGTGCGCGCGGCTCTGTCCCTGGAGATCTGCAAGCCAAGGTAACGGCGCAGTTCTCCAAGGTCAGTGCAGGTGTGTCTCTTCAGCAGCTCTGCCTTCACGGAGGCCAGTGCGTCCCTGTCTGCTGTGGCAAAGACCAGGTCGTCTACCTAGACAAGGATGTAGAACGGAGTCTGGCCAGCACGAACGAAAAGTGAGGGGTCTGCAGAGGACGGAAAGAACTGCAAGTCGGCAAGGGTAGCATGCAGCGTGTCATGCCACTCACGGGGAGCCTGCCGCAGGCCGTAGACGGGACGCCGCAGCAGCCACTGGGTCCCCGGAGGGAAGGTGCCGCACGGTGTGCACGGTGGAGCGGGGGAGGAGGGAAACTCTGGGAACGAACCGGGGAGACCAAGGACGAGACCGTGGTGGGACATGTGACGTAGACGCGGGAGCGCAGGGTGACCTAGGCGGTGGTGCCACAAGAGAGTCGGGTGGGTAAGGGACCGACAAGAGCAAGCAGCAGCAACCTGGGTAGACGCAGCCACCTGGGGAGGCGTCCCAGCCGGGAGGGTCACGGTGTCAAGTGTGAACAGGCCGGACACCGGGTCCCGGGGAACGTGGTAAGGGGGGCACCAATGGCGGCCTCGATACAGACAGCATACCGCTTCTGACCAGGGAACGTAGTGGTGACGCCAAGGTCCTGGAGGCAGCCGACACCAACTAGGTTCCGGGAGAACGAGGGGATATGCAGACCTGTGAGAGAGCCCGAAGGAACCGCTGGACAGGGAAGGGTGGTGGAACTGCGGGCGACTACCGGACCGCCAGAGGGGTCAGCAAGAGAAACTGCAGCAGGAACAGGAAGCGGCGTCAGCGTAGTGGAGTCGCGGAAGAAAAACCGGTAAGCACCAGAGTCCAAGGTGAAGGAAAGCGCAGCAGTGGCGTCTGGCGGCAAAGAAGCGGCGAAAGCACCGAGGCTAAACAAAGTAGGAGATCCTACGCCTGACGCAGCAGGGGAGTCTAAGCTAGGCACACCTACACTAGGCAACAAGGGGTAATAAGACGGAAGCACACTAGAGTCAGCAGCATACAGCACATGCAGGGCGGCTACAATGGCATCCATGTCCAAGTCAAAAATCTGAACCCTACGACTAAGCAAACTGTGCCAGTCCGGGAGGTCGGGCGACGGGCCGAAGCGCTGATGGAACAGGTCGTCCAAGCGACGAAAACAGCGAGGAGTGGAGTGACCGATCTTACCGCAAACGAAGCCGCGGCGAGGACCGGTCTGGATCTGGTACTGACAGCGCACGCCTCCGGAACCACCACCCGGCCCACCACCACGCGCACGGCCACCACCAGGTACAGGCCACCCGGGCGGGGGGGCTCTCGCCTGCCTCGGCTGCTGCGACTGCTGCGGCTGCGGCGGCTGCGGCGTCGGCTGCGGCGTCGGCTGCGGCTGCTGCGACGGCTGCTGCTACTGCTGCTGCGACGGCGGAGGCGGCTGCTCAGCTGGAGCGGGCAGGGTCCCCTCGTCCGCTCCAGCACTAGACGGCCCGCCTCTACCACCACCTCCACTGGCACCCCCTCCTCCCCCGCCGCGCCCAGCCTTGGGGCGGCGGCCCTTCCCCAGACGGAACTGCGCTGCGGCAGCGGTCTCAGCCACAGCGGTAGAACCATCGGAGAAGGTGCACTGAGAAGGGGCAGAACCCTTAAAGATAGGGACCGGCACAGTACCGCTCGCCTGTGCGATAGAGCGGTGGCGGGTCTCAATCACAGTCAGGGTGTCCACGAAGTTTGTGAGGGTGAGTTCACCAGGGTGAATGCTAAGGAACTGGTCGCGAGCGGCGGCAAGGCGGTCGGGGAGGCGGATGGCAAGCAGGTAGAGGGTAGAGGTCATGGGCGGCTGGTGGGCTCTAAGCTGTGCGTCAGTGCAGGCAGCGCGCCAGGTCTCGTCTATAGTGCGCAGGTGGGCAGCTAGGTGCGCGACAGTGGGGAAAGACGCAAGGTCAGGAAAGAGCATCGGGAGGATCAGGCGACCCATGGATGCAGCAGGCGGGGTGGAATAGCGCTTGACGACAGCATCTAAGAAGGCATGAGCGGTAGTGATAGACCTAAAGCGGGGACGCTCAGACAGGGGTAGGGCATTGCTAATGGCAAGCTGCGCGACAGCGTCTCGGGAAAGCCAGACAGAGCGAGCAAGGGCAGCAGCGGCAGCAGACTCGCGCTCAGCGGATGTGGGGTCAGCAGGCAGCACAGCAGGAGGGTCTGGGCAGGGAAGCGTACTGTCAAGGTGTGCCGAAAGCGAGTGACCATCCTGCCGCTGGCCAGTGAGGTGGCGGCGGAGGTCAGCAAGCCACGCCTCGAACTCAAGGGGCTGGCCTTCAGCGTCAAAGCGAAGCTCCGCCGCCATCAGGAACAGTGCAATGCAGGGCAGTGCTAGGCGGTGCAGTGCGATACAGGGCGGTGCAGTGCAGTGCAGTGCGGTGCGGTGTGGTGCAGTGCGATGCAGTGCGGTACAGTGCAGTGCAGTGCGGTGCAGTGCGGTACAGTGCGGTACAGTGCGGTGCTGTGCAATGCAGTGCGGTGCAGCGCGGTGCAGTGCGGTGAAAGGTGGTGGAGAACCGTACCAGGGAGAGTGCAGATCGGACGCTCGTAGGGCCGGCGAGGAAGGGCCGGAAGTCGACGCGGGGCCGGCCGGGACAAGCGCGGGAGCCGGCTGGGACGGGCACGGGACCGGCAGGGACGGGCGCGGGGCCGGCTGGAACGGGCACGGGGCCAGCTGGGACGGGCACGGGGCCGGCAGGGACAGGCGCGGGGCCGGCTGGGACGGGCGCAGGGCTGCCTGGGACGGGCGCGGGGCCGGCTGGGACAGGCGCGAGGCCGGCTGGGACGAGTGCAGGGGCGGCCTGGACGGGCACGAGGGGCCGGCTGGGACGGTCGCGGGGCCGGCTAGGATGATCGCGGGGCCGGCTGGGACGGTCGCGGGGCCGGCTGGGACGGTCGCGGGGCCGGCTGTGACGATGGCGGGGCCGGCTGGGACGGTCGCGGGGCCGGCTGGGACGGTCGCGGGGCCGGCTGGGACGGTCGCGGGGCCGGCTGGGACGGTCGCGAGGCCGGCTGGGACGGTCTAAGAAAGGCGCGACGGGCTAGGAGGCGCGACGGGCTAGGAGAGGCGCGACGGGCTAGGAGGCGCGCGACGGGGCCAGGAGGCACAAACGGGGGGCCCAGGAGGGGCGTGACGGGTGCTAGGGGGGCGCGACGGGCCCAGGGGGGGCGCGACGGGCCCAGGGGGGGCGTGACGGGGCCCAGGGGGGCGCGACGGGCCCAGGGGAGGCGCGACAGGGCCCAGGGGGCGCGACGGGGCCCAGGGGGCGCGACGGGGCCCAGGGGGGGACGCGACTCGTCCTAGGTGACGCGACGGGGCCTAGGGGGCGCGACGGACGGGGGTAGGTCCTAGGGCGGAAGCGTGGGCGGGCGGGGGGACCTACCTACTGCTGATACCATCTTAGAATTGAAGAATTGTTGAATAGAGAGAGAGTACAAGGGTATATACCTAAGATTGTTGTACCCTCTAAGAGGCGACCCTATACAGTCTATACAAACATGAGTTATGCATATGTTTGACAGCCTCGTCATTCATTGTACGGATCGACACTCTGATAACTCTGATAATTCTGTCATTTCGAATCTCGATATTCACTTCCGCGCTACTCTGGGTTTCCACCCATAACACTACTAAATGTTCGCGACTTTAATATATAATCGAATGCAAGCAATAATATGATACATAAAATGACCTCCTTTGTCCAAGATTCTCGTGATTTACTGCGCATATAGTGAAATACATTTCGGCTAGAAAATCAAAAATACATTTGTAATGTTTCACTACAAAATGAACAAACTACTGGTATGTTTAGCGCCCAAACCTTTTGACCTCGTCTTGTAGTACCTAGTTCATAAGCATGGAGTACAGTATATCGGACCACGTATCAGGCAGGCCAGGGGTGCACCAATGCGAGCAATCCACCTTGGGCCCCTCTCCGCTGAAGTTCTGGATGTGCGCATCGGGCCGAATAAGGCTGAGGAGCGTTATATCGAGGATGCTGAATTTCACATTGCCGAATTCGGTGTTGCTGCTCCCATATGACTGGGCCACGGTGCCTGGCTTTTTCGCCATCGCGCCCTTGCCACCCCCATTGCCTGAGGACTTGGACGACCCGGACTGCGACTCCGACTTGGCTTTGGACGAGCTCGTCGAAGAACTCGACTTGGAGGAGGAGCCCTGGGACGAGGATTTGGAATCGGAGCTCTTGGACGATGAGTTCTTGCTGTAGCTCTCAGTGGTGGTCTTTTTGCTGGAGGAAGACGTTTTAGAATCGGAGCTCTTAGAGCCGGAGCTCTTAGAGTCAGAACTCTTTGAACTGGAGCTCTTAGAATCGGAGGAGCTCTTGGACGAAGCCTGCTTCGAAGAGTCCGTGGAGGTATCGCTCTTCGAGGAGGATGACTTGTCCTTGGAGGACGAACTCTTGGAGTCCGATATCTTGAGCTCCCTTCCCCGCTCCTCCGTTTCCAACTCCTCACTCGCCAGCTCATCATCTACCCCCTCCCACCCCCCTTCTTCCCCCACCTCCATCACATTCCTCCCCTCCGCAACACTATTCGCGCTCGCCTTCTTCCCGCTTCCGCTTCCGCTCCCGCTCCCGCTGGCCTTCCCGCCCTTGCCAGCGCCCGCGCTCACGCCGCTGACGCCGCTGCCGGTGCTGCCGGTGAAGACCGCGAGCTGCACGCGCACGGCTTCCGCCGCCTCGCTCTTCTCGAGCGCGATTTGGAACTCCTCCTGGGTCATCGGCCGCCACCACCCCGCGCAGTCGCCGCCCGTGTTGAACGAGTCCGAGTAGTGGAACGGCGAGAAGGTGAGGAAGACCGGGATGCCCGCGTAGTTGGTTTTTACGATCGTGTTGCGCACCGTCGTTAGCGCAAGCTTCATGGCGGTAAAGCCCGTCAGCCCGCTCTGCTTCACCCCGCCGATGTAGTACTGGCGGAGGTTGTCGGGGGCCTGGTGGCGCGCGGAGATGGGGAAGGGAAAGGGGAAGCGGAAGGGGGACCGGGAAATGGGGAGATGATCTAGAGAATCGGATTGTGCAAGCCAGCCTGGCGGTTGAGAGGTCGAAACGATGAGCAGAACGAAGGAATTGGAAAACGAACCGACTGCCGAAATTTGACCAAGGGAAACTCGACCTGAGAAGATTTAACCGCGAGTGGATACGGAGACACGGGAGGAGCGCGGAAGCACCCACATTAACGAACCAGTGACCGGCGTTGAAAATAAAGACGTCGATATGATCCAGTATGTTGGCCCAGCTGCTGTGCGGCTTGTCCAGGTTAATCTTCCACGAACCGCTGCTGGACGCCTTGGACTGGTGACGACAGGGGGCGAGAGAAAGGAGGAGAACACTGAATAGCATAAGAGACGACGAACGAGATGAGCACAGGACGCCTTGGACTGGTGACGAAAGGAGGCGAGAGATGTGAAAAACAGGGGAAGTCTAAAAAAGAAAGAAAAATAGAAACAAAACACCAGGGAGAAATTGAATTAAAGAACCGAGACTCTCGGACAGGGAAGTGCATTACGATTGGGTAGGGGGGAGTAGGCAGGAGAAGTCCTGTGACAGGTACAGGGCAAGCAATCAGTGGAGAGCCGGTGAAGTGAGCGTCGGACTTACGATAGGGGAGGCGTCAACGAGGAAAGCAGCCGCGATGTGCAGCACAGTAACGTTGTACGCGTCAATGACGAACCCGCTAACATCTTCGGTGTCCAGACTCGACGTCATGCGCTGCGAACGGCGCAGGCGGTTGGGTGCACACGGGGGAAAAGGGGCGCTCATAAACGGTTCGACTCGGCACAAGTGGGTCAGTCCAGATCTCAGTCCAGAATCGAGTCAGGCGTGTGAGCGATGGATGGCATCTACTATTGGCTTTATACCGAGGCAGAGCTACCGAAGAGTCCTTGAAACGCGATGGGGCATCCATTGGCCCCAACCTTGGCTTGGAGTCAGCTGACCCGGGGTTGGCGCCGTACCGAGGTGGAGCTTTTGGAGGAGAGGATGCGCTGCAGCGAGTCCTCGGAGAGTGAAGCCCACCTTCTGAGTCTGACGAGGTACCGTGTCATACCGATGTGTCGTACCGAGGTGGAGCTGTTGGAGGAGAGGATGCACTGCAGCGAGTCCTCGAAGTTGGCGGAGAAGGAGTCCCCCGCGATGCCAATCACCTTGTTGCGGTACCGGCTCAGGAACTTGCCCGAGTCGAACCTGCCACCAGCAGCAGCCACGCCACAGGAGGGAGAAAGAGGTAGAACCGAGGAAGAGCCAGGAGTGGATTTTCGTCCTGGAACGCGGGTTGAGGGCCGTCGCGGCGGCATACAATCGTGAATGTACTGCTTCGGAAGTAGCGGAACCCTCTTCACTTTCCCATGATTCTGACCACTGCTTATCGCAGTAGATTTGGGTGTGGCTACACGTATATGCGCCGAGTGGTCAGTCACCTCTGCAGGGTGCAGTGGTCGGGCTGCCAGCGCCAGTTGAGGTAGTTGTAGTCGCGGCGGCCGTTCTTGTAGCAGTTGGCCTGCGACCGAATGCTCTTGCAGCTGTACGCCGAATACGCCGGCTTGGTGTGCGGGGACCGAATCCACCTGCGGATGCGTTGGGGGTGTTGGAGGTGTTCGGAGTGTTGGGGGTTGGGGCGGGGAGGGGGCAGCGGGTAAGGGTCACTATACTTGCTACAAGTATCAAACGTGCGGAATTAACGTCGGACGCATTTTTGGACAAAGTGGGGACACCCAAGAAGGTAAGAGGCTTTGAGCCGCCGTCTCCCTTGGCCAGTTCAATCACAGGGTTCGAGATCCGACCTGCCCTTGGCGTAATTGCAGGCGGCGCCGCTGATGGGGTACGAGCCAGCCTCCGCTGCTCGCTGCCACGCGAGAGGCAGCACGAGCAGGAGGAGGAGAGGCAACATTGGCGGGAGGAAAGAGAAGATATGGGGACGCCCCATGTCGGCTCTACGGAGCCGGACGGCGAGCTCGTAGAGGGGTGGTGACGGATTGAGAGGCGCGAAGAACGGCGATGGTGGCTAGTCGAGAACGCGTCTCAATCGAGAGCCTGGATGCTATTACAGTACGAAGAGTGGTAGTAACAGTAGGCTTCGAGACTGCAGCGCCAAGTGCAAGGACAAAGGCGTTATGGCTTTCCCGAACGGGCTTCGATCTTGTATCTACGAGGAAGAGACTGAAGGGAGGGACTGGCTCATGTCACAGGACGACACGAGCCAAGACCGAGGGCTTCGAGGCCGACCTAACGCGGGAGGCGGAAGAGGGAGGGAGACAACCGAAAGCGTGCTGCGCCTCGGTGATGACCAGGACCGGGATAAGCATGCCGTATTCTATGGGCTTAAAGCTGATGCTGGAGCTTGGAACCGGCAGTGCGAAGTGGGACGACGGGAGGATCGAGGGGTGCTAAGTTCAGAGATCCATGGCCGGTGACGAGGCTTCAGTGGGGTGGAGTGTACTGTTTCGAGTGTACGATTTGCCATGGGATGCGGGGAGTTGCTTTGCGTGAGCCAGTTGACGGGACCTTGCGGCACGGCAACCAGTGGAAACGGGAGATGGGTGAGGTCTCGTGGCGAGATTCACGGCGAGCACCAGGTTTTGGAAAAGTGGCGTGTGCCCACGCGTGCCCTATGCTCCACTCGTGTACAGTAAGGTTGGGGCACTGTGTCACAGTACTGGTGGTCGCGATTGTTGGTTGAGTAGAGCAACTGGACAAATGCGTCAAGCCCGCACCGCGCTGGGCGAACCGCTTGACTTAAACTTCGTAGTCCAATGCGGTGGCGAGCGAACGAGGCGCATTTGTCGCGAATTTGTTCACGAGAGGCACGAACCACTCCTGAGGAGTCCTTGCAGATGGTGGCGAAAGTCGGGTTTGGCAGTGGCTCGGGGTGCAAGAACGTTCACCCAAATCTAGGTAGCCGTCACACAAACCCCCATTTATAGTTGCACCTACATTTATGGCATATTGGGAAACTGATGACTGGTGTGGGAAGAGTTCTTCTCCCCATGTAATATTGAATAACGGGGGAGAAAGACCACACTGCTTGGTATGGTTCCGAGTTCGTCCCCCTGTTTAACACATTCAAAACTTTATCTGGGCTATCCTCAGAACTCTCCTAACTGTGCCAGTTCAAAAATCACCCACGTCCTTCTCCGGGAAGGTGTCCCTGGGAGATGCTCGTTGTGGATTCTCGCGCCGTTGTGCGTCGTGGATTCGGTGGGGGATCGTGCTGGTCATCGGTCTATCCATTATCATTTCATTGTTGAAGGCTCCGACAAGAACTGGGTGTGCCATAGAGATCCACGTAGTAGTGCTGCACACCTCATGCCTGTTGGTGCCCATATCCGTAATGAAGACCAGAAAACAAGCAAAAAGTGGCTTTTGCACACACACACACACACACACACACACACACACACACACACACACACACACACACACACACACACACACACACACACACACACACAAAAGGGGTCGATGGAATCGTCTTAGGGTTGCGGAGCTATAATTTCTCAATCTGAGTACGTTCCATTCCAACATCATGCGTACAAATATCTAATGAAATGTTGTCTTACGTTTTACACTTGGAAACACACAATTATAGTGCAATTACCATTTGAATGCACTTTGTGATTTTGTTTCCATACGTCATATTTCTAAGCACTGTACATAACTTCTTGTAAAAGTTTATCTGAGTCTTTAGTGTCAACTTATACATATTAGTTATGTAGAAGTTATAGGCTAGACGGGGTATGCTTCTAGTGAGTACAACCAACTAGTATTTGTTCTAGATTTCTCCTTCTAGTTCATTATTCAGTTCTTACTTTAACATGGTATCACGCGTAGGTTAGAATCACCTACCTACCGCTGCCACCCGTACCCTAGCTAGGCCCTGCCACGCCTCCTAGCCCCGTCGCGCCCCTCCTGGACCCCGTCGTGCCTCCTAGGCCCCGTCGCGCCCGCTAGGCCCCGTCGCGCCTTGCCTGGCCCCGTCGCGCCCGCCTGGCATCGTCGTGCCCCTCCTGGGCCCCGTCGCGCCTCCTAGCCCCGCCGCGCCCCTCTTGGGCCCCGTCGCGCCTCCTAGCCACGTCGTAACCCTCCTGGGCCCCGTCATGCCTCCTAGCCCCGTCGCGCACCTCCTAGGCCCAGCCGCGCCTCCTAGCCCCGTCGCGCCCCTCCTGGGCCCCGTCGTGCCTCCTCGCCCCCGTCGCGCCCGCTAGGCCCCGTCGCGCCCGCCTGGCCCCGTCGTGCTCCTCCTGGGCCCCGTCGCGTCTCCTAGCCCAGTCACGCCCCTCCTGGGCCCCGTCACGCCTCCTAGCCCCGTCGCGCCTCCTAGCCCCGTCACGCCCCTCCGGGGCCCCGCCGGGCCTCCTAGCCCCATCGCGCCCCTCCTGGGTCCCGTCGCGCCTCCTAGCCCCGTCGCGCCCTTCCTGGGCCCCGTCGCGCCTCCTAGCCCCATCGCGCCTCCTAGCCCCGTCGCGCCCCTCCTGTGCCCCGTCGTGCCTCCTAGCCCCGTCGCGCCCCTCCTGGGCCCCGCCGCGCCTCCTACCCCCGTCGCGCCCCTCCTAGGCCCCGTCGCGCCCGCTCCGGCCCCGTCGCGCCCTTCCTGGCCCCTCCGCGCCCGCCTGGCCCCGTCGCGGCCTGCCTGGCCCCGTCGCGCCTGCCTGGTCCCTCCGCGCCTGCCTGGCCCTGCCGTGCCTGCCTAACCCCCCCGCGCTTGTCTGGCCCCGCCGCGCCTCCCTGGCCCCGCCGCGCCTGCATGGCCCCGCCGCGCCTCCCTGGCCCCGCCGCGCCTGCCTGGCCCCTCCGCGCCTGCCTGACCCCGCGGCGCTTACCTGGCCCCGCCGCGCCTGACTGGCCCCTCCGCGCCTGCCTGGCCCCGCCGCGTCTGCCAGGCCCCTCCGCCCCTGCCTGGCCCCGCCGCGACTGCCTGGCCCTGCCGCGCCTGCCTGGCCCCTCTGCGCCTGCCTGGCCCCGCCGCGCCTGCCTGGCCCCGCCGCGCCCGCCGGGCCCTGCCGCGCCTCCATGGCCCCGCCGCGCCTGCCTGGCCCCGACGCGTCTGCCTGGCCCCGCCGCGTCTGCCTGGCCTCTCCCGCTGCACGCCCGGCCCCTCTTCGTGCCTGCTCGGCCTGCCGCGCCACCTCGAGCTCCGTCTTCTCTGCTCGCCAGCGCCGAGGCGCCTCGCGGCCGCCGTGCTGGAGAGTGCTGCCGCCGTGTCCCTATGTCGCTGTGTCCCTGCGGAGTTGTGGAGGTGTGCCGCTGACCCTGCACGATGGCTGACTTCGTGCTTCTACTGGACGCCGAGGGCCAAACGGTTGACTTCGCCGCCTGGCTCTCCGATCTCCGCCGCCACCTTATAGGTCAGCGCCAGGATGGTCACTCTTTGGTTGTCCATGTCGATGGCTTGCTCCCCCGCCCCCCCGCACCTGCTCCCCTCCCTGCTGGCCCCTCCTCTGCTGACCGTGAGACCTTCTCTACTGCTGCGCTTGCCTGTGCGGTCTGGGACTCCCGCGATGCAGTCGCTCAGGTTGCCATTAGCCACGCCCTCCCTGTGTCTGAGCGCTCGTGTTTTGCTACTGTTGAGACGACCAAAGCCTACTTACACGCCGTTATTGCTCGCTATTCCACACCCGCGTCTGCTTCTGCTGGTCGCTTGCTCTTCCCGATGCTGTTCCCAGACCTTGCAGCCTTCCCTACCGTCACAGACTTTGCCACTCACCTGCGTGCCCTAGAGACCCGCTATCGCACTGCCAGCACTGCTGCCCAGCTGACTGCGCTCCCCCACCCTTTTTGCATGACGCTCTATTTTATCGCCATGCGCCTGCCAGACCGCCTCGCTAGTGCTCGCGATCACTTCCTTAGCCAGCACCCGGGTGACCTCACCCTCACCGCCTTTGTCGACACCCTCACCGAGATCGAGACTCGCCAGCGCACTATCGCTCAGTCGAGCAGTGCGCCGGCAGTCTCTATCTTTCACGGCTGTGCCCCCTCCAAGTGCACGTTCACTGACGTTTCGGCTGCAGTCGCCACGGCGACCCCTCTCACCGAGACGGCTGCTGCGGTCCACCCGCAGCAGCGCTCGCGTCGCGGTGGCCGTGGTCGCCAGGGAGGTAGGGGTGGTGGCGCGGGTGGTGGTGGTCGTGGTGGTGGTGACGGTAGTCCGCCTGAGGGGACTACCACCGTTGGGCAGGAGCAGCAGCCCCAGCTGCAGCAGGAGCAGCCCCAGCAGCAGCCGCCATCCCAGCAGCAGTCGCCGCAGCCGTGGGCTCGTCTCCCGCCTGGTTGGCCCGGCACCTCCGGAGGTAGTGGCCGTGGTGGCGGCCTGCGCAGCTCGGTGTCTACCGGCGGCTCCGGTGCTGTCACTTGCCAATACCAGCTTCAGACCGGGCCTCTTCACGGTACTCTGTGCCGCCGCCCGCACCCGACCGCCCGCTGTTTCCGCCGCCTCGACTATCTCTTTCGTCGTCGCTTTGGGCCGGCCCCGGACCTCCCCGACTGGCACAGCCTGCTCCGCCAGGGCGTGCCGATCTTTGAGTTAGACATGGATCAGATAGGTGCTGCTTTGCATGCCTTGTATTCTCACGCTTCTAGTGTTGCTGGATCTTATCACCATGTGTACTCTAGTTTAGGTGTTGCACTGTTGTGTAGCTTAGCCTCCCCTGCTGCGTCAAGCGTAGGACTGCCTAGTTTGCCTAGCCTCGTCTCTGCACCGGCTCCGTTCCCGGCCTCCGCCACTGCTTCGCTATCCTTCACTCTCGACTCCGGTGCTTCTGCCTGCTTCTTCCGCGACCATTCCGCACTAACGCTGCTTGCTACGCCTGCTGTTGTCTCTCTCGCTGACCCCTCTGCGGGTCCTGTTGTCGCTCGCAGCTCTACGTCCCTTCTCTGTCCAGCAGTTCCCTCGGGCTCCCTTACAGGCCTCCACGTTCCCTCGTTCTTGAGGAACCTGGTTGGTGTCGGCTGTCTCCAGGACCTCGGCATCACCGACACGTTCCCCGGGCACGAGCGGTTCGCTGTCTGTTCTGAGGCTGTCTCAGGTTCCCCCCTTGCGACGTTCCCCCGCGACCCGGTGTCCGGTCTGTTTACCCTCGACACCGCTTCCCCCCCGCTTGGTGCGTCCTCCCAGGTCGCTGCAGCTTGCTCATGTCGGTCCCTCAATCACCCGTCCCTTCTCTAGCACCACCGCCTAGGTCACCTTGCTCTCCCACGTCTATGTCACATGTCCCAGCACGGTCTTGTCTTAAGTCTCCCTGCGTCGCTCCCTGCCCTTCCTCCCTCGATGCGCCACCGTGCATGCCTTGCGTCAAGGGCCGGCTCCGCCGTGCTCCTCAAA